ACATAAAAAAGAAAAGGCTCTTCCAAGATTCGTGTAGCCCTTGGGCTGCCCCGGTGATTCTTCTCCGAAAGAAGGATGGTACATGGCGATTCTGCGTGGACTACCGACGGCTCAACTCTGTTACTAAGGAAGATGTTCACCCGCTTCCCATGATTGATGACGTCATCGATGTTTACACTTGGCATTGTACTTCTCCTACGTGTATTTGAGATCTGGTTATTGGCAAATCCTCATTCACCCGAATGACAAAGATAAAACGGCCTTCATAACCCCAGATGGTCTATTTGCATTTGATGTAATGCCTTTTGACCTATGCAACGCTCCAGCCACGTTTGAGCACTTCATGGACTCTATATTACGTGGGCTAAAGTGGGAAGTTTGTCTTTGTTACCTGGATGACATTACAATTTTGGCTTTACACTATGAGCACAACCATCGTCTAGACATTGTTCTCACCTGCCTCGAGAGAGCTAAGCTCACCCTGAACTCTAAGAAGTGTCACTTCAGCAGCCGGGAGACTCTCGTTCTTTGTCACCTGGTAGGCAGGCATGGCGTTTGACCCGACCCCCATATAGACTTTGAAGTCTGTTACAAGAGCGGTTGTCGCCATGCCGACGCCGATTGCCTTTCATGGCTTCCACTTCCGACAACCAAGTGTGGTGCTGACAACTTTGATGAATATTTGGTAGTAGAGGATACTCCGTTTCCTGACCTAACAACTTTTTGAGCAGAGCAACGCCGTGACAACAGTCTAGCTTCTTTCTTTCTTTTTGGAACGAACGGTCAAAGTACTTTCGTCGTACAGGATAGCGTTCTTTACAAAAAGAATTATTCCGGCGTATGCACTCACCTACTTCAAGTTGTGCCAACAAGTCTGCGACAACACGTACTTTGAGCAATGCACGACGACCCAACATCTGGCCATATGGGTTCTTCTAGGACATTTTATCGCATGCAAGAACGCTTCTTCTGGCCGAAGATGCGTAAAAGTGTGACTGTGTATATTGCGAGCTCTGAGCAATGTCAACGCACAAGCGTCCTACAACTCCGCCAGCCGGACCACTTCATCCCATAGCATCCCCGAGTTCACCATTTGACGTCGTTGGTGTTAACCTGATCGACCCTTTTCCGCGATCAACGAACGACAACCGATGGATTATTGTGGGAATTGACCACCTCACAAGCTACGCCGAAACTGGGGCAATTCTTGCGGCAACGGCCACTCATGTTTCACAGTTTACGCTGTCACACGTTATATTACGCCATGGATACCTCCATGTCATCATCAGTGATCGCGGGCGGCAATTTATTGCTGATGTAGTTGAAGACCTCCTTCGTCTTTCTTCATGCCATTTTCGTCACACTACCCCGTATCACGAACAGGCTAATGGTTTGGCGGAACGAACTAATAGGACTCTCGTCAACATGATTTCCGTGTATGTTGATTCCGGACACAAAACATGCGACGCGATCTTGCCATTTATAAGTCTTGCCTACAACACTGCACAGCATGAAACAACGAGATACAGTCCATTTTACCTACTCTACGCACGCCAACTCCTCACAGCTCTTGAAACTATCTTTCCTATTTCCGAGACTGATCAACCTACTCTCGCCGAAACCATTTTCTGCGCAGAAGAGGCCCGGCGCATCGCCAGTCTTCAAATTTTAATCTCCCAGAAACGCTCTAAGAACTGTTACGACAGAAGTTGCCGGCACATATTGTTTGAGAAAGGGGATTTGGTGTGGCTTTGGACGCCGCTTCGCAAGCGCGGCCTCTGCCCAAAGTTTCTGGTCAACTACACTTGTCCGTTTGTTGTCCTGAAACGTCTCAGTGATGTCACGTACGTGATACCTCAGCTGTTGTCAACTGGCCGCCGCTCAAGCAAGACCAACGTCGTTCATGTTGCCCGTTTAAAACGCTATCATCATGGCAATGAAGCCTAACTCGCCCGGTAGGCATCGTCTGCAAAGGGGGAATTGCTACGATACTGAGGGGACGCGTGGAAGAAGAGAAGAACGAGGTTGGCACGAGCGGTGATCTACCAGATTCCTGGACTCTCGCATTCATCATCTCTTTAAATAAAGCCATCTCATCATAACAAGATATTTCAATGTATTTTGGCTTACCTGCATTGTTTTCCATGCTTTGGCAAAGAAAATATAGGTATGAACAGAGTGTAATTGCAAGCGCAGTAGACGCTAGAGATTTCTTGAAACTTCTATGTACAACAACAGCAAATGAATGTCTTGATATTATGTGATTGAGCGAGAATAGTCAACGCATGAGAGGTCTGCTGAAACACACAGCGCAGTTGAAGATTCTGTATGCTTTTTCTGCCACCATTTATACCATTTCGATAATTGTGGGCCTCTACCACTTCGTCTTAGGGATGAAATATTTGTAGTTATCACAGGCACGGTCGTAGAGCTCAGCCAGTTTCATGTCATTTTCACGGCTGCTGAGCAGAGTTGGTAATGGCCCTATGTTTTTTCTTGTTTCCTTTTCAGTGGATAGTCAAGTGGTTACAGAACATAGAAACTATTGCGTTGTCCAGCAGCATGGCAACTGCGCTTTTGTCTTCGACCTTTACAAACAAAACTGCTTCCGGTATAAAAACAGCAACAATAGTCCGCACGTTCCTTTTCTTCTATTTTTTTGTTGTTGTCATAGAGCCCCTTTGTACTGTCATCATTTGCCTTTTCTCGCTAGTGTCTATATTAGGGACAAAAGATACAATGAAAGCTTCGACGGGCTCCCACATATTTATAGCAGCATCCGTCACAGGTAACAGAAAAAACAGCATTCTTTTAAAGAATATTGTGGGTTCAATTTCAGAAGCAGCGCACAACACAAGGTATGTGTGTGCTCCCAAAGACTCATTGTAGTATAAAAAGCACACCTGCATTTCATTACGCCTCCTAGCAAAACTACGCACTCTGTATACATCTCGTGCTACGCAGAGAATGTATTATTATTCCTAAAGCACAAGCAATTCGTCTTTTTCAACGTATAAGCGGAAACCTAAAACACATTTACCAGAATGGAGTACTGACCACGTGCCTTTGACAAGCTATCGTTGTCCTAAAGATTAACGACTCATAGAAAAAATAGAACAGAGTAAATATGCCAAGCTAGTAGCTGCAATCCTTAGCCTCCGATTTAACAGTGAGCAAAATCAGAATATTGTGTTATAATTTTTTGCCCGAATAAGCAAGTGTACTTTGTAAAGTAGAATTGTCCCTAGTGGGTTAATACCGACATGCAAATTTGTGAGAAACGTGACAGAATACGTAGAAGTAACTTATATATATATATGGCAATATGACGTAATAGTTACATCGGCGTGTTGATATTTCGTGAAGATTTATGCAATGAAGTTCCAGTGAAAGAAGGCAGAATCTAGGAAGTTGCAGCGACTCTGTAGGCCTTTTGCGAAATTGCTGCCATCTGTCAGCCGTTGTGTGCATAACCGCCATGTCAGAGGATCCGTGCGGCGCAGTATGGACATGTCCACGTGTATTTACGTATACGTATGCGTAAAGTGTATCGACGTCAGGCGATAATAGGCTGATAATTGCAGTTCCAACGTATTGCTGCGTTTCTTTGAGCCCAGAGAAAGAAACTCAGAATGCTGAAGGAACAAAAGGTGAGCCGTAAACTTTGCCCCTTTTTCCTTTTTTAGCTGATGGCGTTTCCAGCATGAGCTCCGGCTACTGCTCCCTAAATACGTATATGCATTGTACTTTCTATGCAAGTAAAATGTGCAATAGCATTTGTATTCGTGTTCCAATGAATGGCTGCACGACGAAGCAAGGCAGTTTTGGCAATCTTTTCGCTAGCAACTCTTTACCAATTGAATGCAGCTCATACGGTCCTCGCTGACGTCACCTTCACGCAACCAACTTTATCGCAGCTAACTACGTGTGCCTACATTTCGTTGAATGTGTTTTGCTTAACACGTGTGGGTAACGGCACACGCTAAACTAGATGCAAGTGGGCGCCATCGGTTCATTTTGAGAAGGGAGCAACAATGCTAAAGCGTCCTTGTTTCGTGCTGTTCTGTTCTCTCTTCTGGAGTGTTACAAGCAGCCGTTTAGTAGAATGACTGACGCATTGCTGCGCGTATTTTTTTCTGGCATTCGATGTGCTCGGCACATGCAACGAAATACAGGCACGTGCAACTAGCCGCGATAAAGCCCGTTGCGTGAAAGTGGCTTCTGCGTGAAGCGTATACGAGTTGCCTTTACTTCGGAAACGGCTGCTAGTGAGAAAATTGCAAAAACTGCCCTGATTGAGCACGCAGCAATTGGTGGGAACAAAATATAAATGATTTTGCACGTCTTATTTGCTTAGGAAAACGAACGCATGGACGTCTTCTGGGAGCAGTAGCCTGAGCACATCCTGTAAATGTTGACAGCGGGAGAATATAAGAAGCAATGTTTACGGCTTATACCTTTTTTGTTTAAGCATTTTGAGTTCTTTTTTGTGTGAAGCAAAGGGCGCACCAATACGTCAGCATTGCGATTATCAGCCAACACACATCATGTCGATATATCTTACGTATACGTAAACAAATGCGCACTCTGCGTAATGCGCCGCGCTTAGCCTTTAACATGGCGATGTGCACACGGTGGTCGACAGATGGCAGAAATTTCGCATGAGGTCTATGAAGCTGAAATATGCTATATGGCGTATACTATTATGCGAAATTGACGATAATAGCGTAGAAAATGTGCAGATAACTGTGGCGAAAAAACATTTCGTGAAACGGGAAGAGCAGAAGAGTAGAAAGAACAGCGCTGCTCTTCCCGTTTCTTTCCGTTTAATCTGTTCTCCCTGTTTCACGAAATGTTCTTTGTACATCAGTCATCTACACCATGTAAGCACCAACTCAGCCCAAAACAAGTCTTTTTACAATTAAAGAGGTTTGCGAAAGATCACTAGTGACATTATGATCAGTGATACATTGCTTGAGAAAAAAAACATGAACACAAACCAGGGATAGGAAGCTTTGGAGTAACTTTCACCACAGCGCACATGTTGTCGAAGTCAAGATACACGAGCTTGTGCTTAAAAGTCACTTTCGAACCTGAAAAAACAAGAGTAATGAGTTAATATGTAGTTCCCAATTGACCCGAGCAAGAAGGTGCAATCCATTGTTGCATGAAATATTGTCAGTCATATTCTCTATCAGAACTTTAATAGAAATATCCAGGCATAATTTCCCTTATTAGATGATCTGCCACCTTCTAAATCATTTTCAACATGGTCGCTTCGATGCAATAGAAACCTTCGAGTACCATGCACCAACCTAGTAAGACCGGCAAGCACAATCTGCTGAAAAAGTTACACCTTTACCACATGAGTAAGGCAATAAATGTGACAGAAGCAAATTGTGATGTTACATGATGTAAGGGTGTGAGCCAACTCTTGACTCCGATATCTCACAACTCCAAAAAACACTGTTGTTAGGAAATATGACCACTCTATGTAGATATTGTCTTTTTGTATGGTCTCTTCACGTTGAGAGCGCGACCCGTAGAAGACTATACGAGCTTAAAGCTGATGCTTGGCCAGATAGCATGTGCACCAGTCATCGCTGCCGAACTCCTTAAACCAAAATTCACAGCTACTGCTCGAGCGAGCAAGTGCTCACAGTTGGTCCTCGTTGATTGGAGAATGACGACGGTCGAGTGTGGATTTCTTGATCCTCTGAATTTCTTGCTGCATGCGCCTTTACCTCCAGCCAAAATAAGCTTTCTGCATTATCCACAATTTCTTAAGGGTTCAATGGTTTTTCTTAGGTCTTTCAAATTATGGTGCCAAATTGATAAATGATAAAATGATTAAATGGCTGTTACAACATACGTTCACGCGCTTTAACATCAGCTTAAAAAGACAGCCCAGCGGTTTGGCCTGAGGTTGGTTTTTCTACTAGTAACAAGCTAGCCAGATCCTGTTCAATGGTCGTCAACAAGCTTGATAATTCCGGGTCACGCAGTTGTTTCATTAACCACAAAGTTAGATTCGTGTCATCTGAGGCCAACGTCGTCTATTGCATCCCTCTGTCGTGTGGTCGTGTCCGTGTCGGCCAGACAGCGGATGCTCTAAGAGAGCGTCAGTTTTTCTTGCTGGGGGGACCCCTTATACGCACATGGCCATACACTGCGCCAAGTGCCAGTGCGGTGTGCAGTTCTCCATGGTGTGAATCTTTTTAAGCACCATGATAGCGAGACATGAAAACTTGCTATGATCTTCCATATTAACACGAGCTATTCTATGTGTGTCAGTTATTTTTCTTTGGCCTTCTCAAAAAAGGCAGTGATACTACTCAACAAAAGGGGATAGCGCGTTGGGGGGGGGGGGGGGGGTAGTTGCTGCAGGACATGTGTTTTTCTTTTGCTTCACCCACGATGTGCATGCCCGGATTTTAAGCGAGCGTCAAGTTTACATGTTAAGTTTTTTTTTGTGCAAGCAACGAAGCTTTCAGTTGTAAGCGCTTGTGGTGCTCACTTTCTTTTCCTCGTCTCTTTTTGCGCTACTTTTATGGCTTAATGAAAATTTATTGTCATGTTATTTCCCTAAACTTCTATTTGCATAACAGGTTTATTATCGTTCGCTATGAGCATCATCTGTGATGATGGGGAAACTATTGGCTACTTCTTGTTATCCTGAGCTGGTACATTTCTTGGTGAAAAAAAAGTGCCAACTTTTCGCAAGCCGGGTGTGGAAGCTTCAGAATCTGTAACGCATCATTCGGGGCCATTACTCTGCAGGGATGCTGCATTAGGGATATTTTCTTCCTCATTGAGGAACTCATTAGCAGAACTAAAATAGAATCTACCAAAATTCCTTTCTATGAACTTCTCAATATCCGTAACTTGTACATCGAATCAGTTTGCCAACTATAGCGTCTGCCTAAAACAAACTAAAAATATAATTAAATTCACCCACTAATCGATCAATTATATCAAATGGTTCTGAGGCATGTCCACAAGAAAACAACAACAAGGACTCAACTGAACTTTATTTGTCGAATGTTATAGCGGCTTTGTCTGTGTTCACCGCGTCTTATCTGTGTTCCCTGTGTCCGGATTACTCCCGAATTGCCGCTGTACCTTGCCAGCTCGTACACTCCTACGACCTTTGTGATATCGTGGGCTCATGTTTTTTGGGATAGAGGATACTAGAATCTTTTCACGCAGCTGTTTAGCTGTGGAATCCAGTTCCTCTCCCGCCAAATAGGACGGGCTGAGTAAACATAACACCGAAGCAATTTTCTCCGAGCAGTGGTTAAGGCAAGCCTTTCCTATTGAGAAATGCGCTCCGCGGCGCGTAACTCCTCATAATGATGGTGTATACCAAGGGCTTTGAGACGTTTGTGAATGTTCCAAGTGGTTGGCCGATAGCCGCCTTGTACGATGCTCGGATCAACGCATCTAGGGCCCTAAATCAGTTTTATTGATCTCTTGGAAAGGAAGACTATATGTTAGCCGACTGAAGACAAAATCCTGAACCAGCTGGAGCGTCTCAGATTCCTTGAGAACTTTTCCGTAAAGGTGACTCTATGCATCATACGGGAGATCTGCTTCACTGTTGTTCTAAGAGTTTTGATTGTGTGGTCCCCTCGCTTGTTGCTTTGTAGCCACAGTCAGAGGACTCGCATTTTTTGTACCTCTTTTACATTGTGGTCTCCTAGAAAGAGGTTGACCAGCTCGTGAATGTGACGGCCTCTGCCTCGGATTCTAATAAATACACGTTTATTGGGAGCACAGCTCATTCCGCTGTGATACGCGAAGTCGTCAACAGTGGTCAATGCGTGCTGTAGGATTAGCTCTTTTTGTCCCAAAAAGCCACTGTTGGCTTATAGGGTAAATCATCCGCATAGAACGAGTACCCTAGCCCTGAAACGCAGTCTAGTCTTTTTGGTAAACGTGTCATGCTGATGTTGAAAAAAAAGGGGGTAGTGTCACCCCTCGTTGTGTGACTTTATTGGGCATAGCAAATGGATTTCAGCGTGTATTGCCTAGGCCTATTGTATCAGTGCGAGAGGTTAAAAAAGAGTGAACGTAGTCATATATCTTTTGCCTACAACCGATGTCATTTATCTCAGATAAGATGAGCTCATGGGACATAGTGTCAAATGCGCTTTTCAAATCAAGAGCTACGACGAGATGTTCTGCACCAACCGTGGTATTGCAGAGTACCTCTTCCCGAAGTAGACGGAAAACATCCTGCGTTGACAAATGTTGGCGAAATTCAAACATGCTAGTTGGAAATCGGTTCCGATCTTCAATGAAAGTCGCGAGACGTGTGTGAATTACCTCTTTGAATAATTTGCCAAGACAAGATGTTACTGATATTTGTCTTAGATTTTGTAGGTCGTGTGTGTTTCTTTGCTTCGGAATAAGATTAATTTTGGTTTCCTTCCAGTGTTGTGGAATCACTCTTTTTTGCCATACCTAATAATTAAAATACCGTGTAAGCTGTTCCAGGTGTTCGTCGCTCAGATTCCAAATCATCGCGTTTGTTAGCTAGTCAGGTCTAGGGGCAATATTGCGCTTTGCTGCTTGCGCGGCCGTGAGTAGTTATGCCTTGGTTATGGGTGTGTCGAGCACTGCGTTTTCTTGGCCTTAGTATGCTAAAGCGCACAGGGGAGTGGTGACTGCGCGTATGTACTTGTCTCGGAGCTTAGTGAGGAGGGCGTCTTATGTTCCTGGAAAATCCCCGGCGAGCTTCTTAAGAGTTTGGTTCGCTGCCGTTTTCGTTTTACCAGGTTCCATTATGCCGCGGTGTATTTCCCATGTCTTGGAGGTGTGGGAGGTCTCTGAGTGAGTCGCGAAAATCGTCGCGCTGAAAAGTCACGGCGTCGAAACAATGAAAATATTGGAACCTCGCTTGATTATGAGCAAAAATTGTTCACCAGATAGTTGTTGACAGCAAGCTGCTATCACAGCGTATACCAGAAGTGGACTAGTCAGGTTCTTCACCGGTAGCCCTTCGTGTGGTCGCTCCACTATTTTGAAGTCGTCTCTGGGCAAGGGAGGTAGCTGCCTGTAGGCTGGCCTGTATTTAAATTTTCCAGTTGCTTCAGCAGTGGATATTTGTCGGTGGTTCGAGGTCATCGAAAAATCCATGGATTTGGTCTTGTTCTCTTTTGCAAGAGCTTTTTTCTGCCGCAGAGTGAGCACTGTTTGCCAGGCTTCATCCACTTCGGTTTGGGCTGTTGGACCCGGCGTTCTGATCGCTGGGTCCGTTTGGCGTTGAGAGGCTGTTAGCTGTAGGTTCTTGAAAATACATATTATCAAGGTCTTGGCGTCACGTGTCCGTCATTCGCGAGGGTCTGGGATGCGCGATGGCGTCTGAGGGTTCATTCGCCAGAGCCATCGAGCACGCGCGCGACGCGCACGGTAGCGTTCTTATGTGGTTCTTAAAGAGAAAAGAAAAATGAGCCCCTTGACTGTCTGCATCAGAGTGTGACACCTCAACAGTAGCTCACGGGGGATGGGGGTAAAGGAAGGATTAAAAGAATAGGATTAAAAGGTAAAGAGAGAGAGAAAGGAGAGAGCGAGGCGCAGGGACAGCGAATGACAGAAAACTACGGAAGTAAAGAGGAGATAGGAAATATGGACATGGTCGCAGGAGTCCGAGGACGGGGCACCACTCGGCGAGAGCTCTTGTCGGAGTCAGGAGATGGCGTAGGGCGAGGCCAGTCGGCCAGACCTGCGCTGTCATCGGAGATCGCAGGGGCACAACCGGTCGGCACGAAATCCAGAGAGCGAGACCCATGATAGCGTTCCTGCAGCCACCTACATGGCGGCAATGGCTTTGTCGAGCTCGCACAATAGGCAGGTGCGTTCGGGCTTCTAAAATAAACGTTCCGGTCACTTACAGCTGCGGTTGGTGTCAGTAATTGCGCAAAAACTTCAGGAAGCCATGGCAATAGCCGAAATTGGCCGTACACAAAAATTTCCACAAGAAAGCTGAAAACTTTGCGGAGCGCATGCAGGCACGACACTTCTTGTGGGCGCCACCTAGCGTCTCCCTAAGCGTTGAACTTTCGAGGTTTTCATGTTGTTCGATTGGACGCTGTTGTTTTGGGCGTTTTAAATCTAGAATACGTATCACAGTGAGTTATGGTAACAAATTACGGGCACATCTTTAATCGGGTAGTCATCTATGGATTGTATTTTAGTTTGTACGCTCGTGCAACGGACAATCTTTTTAACAATCACGGTTTTGCTAGCAGAGATACAATAATGTCATGGGGTCAGGGCATGAACTACAACAGAAGTAGGCTTGTTGAAGGTGAAACCCAACATTTGGCCGAACTTGGGGCAGCAAAACGGAAACTCAAACGAGAGCAATATACGTATGCTATACACGGATATCGGCGAGCAAAGCGTTGTGCGTCGATGATGTGATCTGCGGCAAAGGGCGTGGGAATTTATACAAGAGGCGTCAAGGGTTCTAGCGTTATCGATGGTAGTAGAAATCGTTTGAAAATAAACCAATCTGCTCTCGTTGGCTCCCTCGCACCAAACAGATGACCAGAAAGCTGTTTAGAATGATCTTAGACCAGCATGCAGTATGTGCACGTGCATTACGCCAAAAAATAGAACAAAAAAAGAGCATGTGTTGAAGCCTACTTCATGTTAGCGAGTGTAATTGCATGAAAAAATTTCACACAGTCATACCTTTTTGCGTGGCAACCATTTTATTGCTATATTTCAAGGCACCTTCCATATGAACAGAAACCCTGTAAATGAAGCATAAGTACATGTGAACTGTGGTGAGGAAGACTTTGTGAAATCGGACTATACCTCTGTTTTCTCGTGGGGTCGACATAGAAGGAGTGAGTATACATGACAGTTTCTCCCAGCAGTTTTTTTGTAACGTCCACAATGCAGTAATTCTTGTTGTATTTGTTTGTCGTGTTGAAGGTCCATATGGGTTGCGTTGTGTTTAAGAACTGAAACAAAATCAAAGCCCATTTTCGTTTGTTGCAATTTGGCCTGTTCTTGACAATGTTACCTTTAAAGCCCGCATTTTATTGTTTATACAATAAGCGCACTAGAAACAAAACCTAGACATTTTTTGGGTGCACCTTAGCTGATAACACGCATAATATGATGAACCGAAATAGTTACTATAACATTGGACAACAGAAGATTTAATTTTGGATAAAAGGCAAGAAGTCAGCATGCACTAAGTATATAATAATCTAAATTCATGGTTCCTGTGTCACTAGTGTTAGGTCGCTCGTTGAAATATGTCGCGCATGGGAACTCCCATTTTGCATATCGAGAACAGTTAATATCAGAGAACGCACAACGCGAGGATATGTTTGTCTCACTCGTGTTACAGCATTATCGCCGTGCTAAAGAGGGTAGGTAAATCCACTTCATACATGAAGTTGATCGAAATATGATAATGGCATCTTAAAAAACGAAAAAAAACAACTAAAAGAGCGATCACGGAAGGGATTCAGGAGCTAGGTAGCCTTTCTTGTTTTTCGTGTTTGCTTTTCCTGCCTTCCTCACTTTCTCTTTTCTTCTAATCTGTTTTTTTTCCTTTCTTCATTCACGGCTTTATTCCGATAATAATTGCTTCTTTATGTTTATTTATTTCTTTCTCGTTCTTGTTGTTCGTGTTTTTCTTCCCATAATTCCACTTTTGATTGCAATTACGGGCTTACTCCTCCTTTTTTTCTATTTGTATATGTAGCTTTGCCTGTGTTATGCAAGGGCATTGTTTTTTTTGATGATGAATATGATAGGGAATCAACATCAATGTGCTGGGGGAGCGAGTGGTACACTGAGCGGAGACATCTCTTCGGTGTGAGCGCGCACTGTCTAATAATAATGAAGGCGCTCAAAGGGCATGACAGAGAAGATGTCTTTTTGGTACGAGAGCGCTCTCAATATGGTTCTAGTGGAGCGTTTCACTGAGTGACGATGACAGCATACAACAGCCTATGACTGCCTAAAGTGTGGCGCCCTTGAAGTTTTAGGAATGGAAGCTTGAGCGAGTTGGTATGCGTTTGTCTTGGTTGATACAGCGCAGACCATACGGCGACGAAAAATTACAAAGACAGTGCGGACGCTGAACTCTGTTTCTTCCTCTTCATCGTCATCCCATGTGCACTCTATAGACAAAGATACTATCAAAGTTAACGCAGCTTGTACAAAGTTGCATAAGTGATGTCATAACAATCATAACAGAGATGGCGGGCTGAATGCCGGTGAGGACAAAGGTGCGGAATATTGCGAAAAGAGAGCGTGCCGATGCACGAAGATGAGTTTTTCTACACTGTACGACAAATCCTACTTGCCTTGCTATTGGGTATTTTATATGGCTATCCTTTTTTCCCCTTTAAATAAGTTCCATTCGTGTGTGTTGCTTTATACCTTCTCCTGTCTCCGTCTATTTCTTATAAATGCAAATGCATTTCTCAGTCGGGCTATGTTAGGCGCCCATCGAGATCCGTCCACCACCCTCTCCCATAGCAACAGGTGTGGGCGTGCACGTCTCGAGCATTGGAACCCCCTCCATGTCACGCTTCGGCGTCGGCAGCTGTCAGCAACAGCTGCAGGTGCTCGCTTATCCTCGCCCATAGCAACCGCAGCCCCCTCCCACCCCACCACTTTCTGAGCTGAACGTTATTTGTCACCCCTCAATGCAGTGCGCTTGAAATGCGTTTGTAACATTTTTGTAGCGTTTGTTTTGACAAGACGCAGATATTTTGGCAGTGAGGTTCAATGACAACACGAACAGGCGCTGATGAATGTGTAAATAAATTGGTACGGTACAAATCCTTGTCTCGTCAATCATTTACGCCAATAAAATTGCTACGCCGTCTGCTGCCGGTGCCAGAAACGCACGCTCATTTCCTCACAATTCCTTTCGGAGAGGTGAGGGCATTTTTAAATACGATAGTCTTTCTCGAGGACCTTCGACGCAAAACTTTTGATCTGTCTGTCAGTCTCTCTGTACATTTGTCTGTTTGTGCGCTTTTAACGGTACCCCAACAGCACCAAAATGGCCAGATGATACTCCAAACGCCCGACGCCATCCGCAGCGCCCACAAATATTGCTCAAGATTCAGCGTTCATTCTTGTGTGATTGTCGGTTAAATATCAATTATTGTGATATCTGAGGCACCATAACAACATGTCAATATTCTGTATGTGAGTCTCTCACTAGAAAAAAACTCCCAAGCATTTCCCCGAGGGTGAACATGGTTAAGTGCGAATTCGTTGTTGATGGTAGCGTAGCCTCCGGGACATCCATCGCACGACCCGCTCTCGACGGGAGACTGAGAGAGAAGGCGGGCGCGAGAGAGAGAGAGAGCGCGCGCAGCTGCAGCGAGCGAGGAGAGCGGAGGAGCGAGCGAAGGGGGAGGGGGACGCGTGCAGCGGCGTTAAAGGTATAAGGCGCGTTACTGACACCGATATCAGCGTCGCGTTCGTGGCTTATTCGGTAGAGCGTCGCGTTGCGGCCCGCCAAGTCCTCTTTCTTTTGAAGATAGAGAGAAGACTGCGGACGCCGCCGACGGCGGTAGGTGGTTTGGGGTCGCTTATAAAGTGTATTCACACTTAAAAGCATACATAAGCAATTTTAAGGACCGTAGCGTATATCACGCTGCACTGACCAGGCAACGCTTGCACGAAAAGGCAAGTGTTTCCAATGCTTTGCCAAGACGACACGGTGGTGGTACCTACCCGTCACCTTGCGTTCTACACCTTGTCGCCTCCGAGATGGGCGCGCAGAGAGCGCGTGCTTCATTTTCTAAGATAACTGCCAGATAGCACTCATGTCTCACGTGTGACGAGCCTTGATGCGCTTGTTCACCTCTGCTGCACTGTCGAGGCACCCTAACGCAGCGCCTGCAGAATACCATTCACCGATTTTCTTGCGCAGAACATCAAATAAATGTTTTGTTTACTCTCTCCAAACGAAAGAATGTCGTCTTTCGACGACATTTCCAGTGTAACATGCAGATAGGGGGCCACTTTTTTTTTTCGTTCTCACTTTCTGTCTCATTTCTTCCTTCTGTTTTTTATGTCTTTTTTTTGTGCTCTACACATTCAGATCGACTCTAGGTGTTGTAGGTCTTTGTCTCTTGTTTTTATTTAGTATTGCCTTTTATATCTATATTTCTGTGGTTTCTTGCCTTCTATCTTTTGCTGTCTTCCTTAAAGTTCTGTTTCATTTCTAATTGCGCCTGTGTCTATTCCTGTCTCTCTTAGTCTCTCTCTTTGTAGTTGGTCTCTGACCTCCGGTGTTTTTTTCAAACACGATAATCGTTCTTGGGATACTTCGACGCAAAAATTTTAGTCTGTCTGTCTGTCTGTCTGTCTGTCTGTCCGTACATTTGTCTGTTTGTCCGTACATTTGTCTGTTTGTCCGCCGCAGGGATACTTCAAACGGCACCAAGGCGACCAAGATACCCAAACGGCCAACCCCTTCCGTAGTGCCCAACAATATTGCTCAAGTGTCAGCGTTCATAATTGTGCGATTGTAAATTAAAAAGCAAATATTCCACATATCTGAGGCGCCATAACCACACTTCAATATTTCCCATGTGTGGCTTATACTAGAGGAGGCAAACATTAGTAATTTAAGCACCGTAGCGTTTATCACGCTTCGCTTACAGTGCAACGCGATGCTCAAAAAGGGAAGTGTTCCCAATGCTTTGCAAAGACGACATGGTGGTGGCACCTGCCCATCGTTTTGCGTTCTACACCTTATCGCCTCCGAGACACGCGCGCATCTTTCTCCGTAGGCACACACGCTTTTCTTCGTTTTCGAAGATAACTGCCAGATAGCGCTCGTGTCTAACGTGCCTCGATGTGCTCGTTCGCCTTCGGGGCACGGATCGAGACTCTAACGCAGGGCTTCCAGAATACAACTTTCTCGCGCAGAACATCAAATAAACGTTCTGTTCACTCTCTCCACACACAAGACTATCGTCTTCGATGACATTTGTGGTTGTGTACCAGACTGTATATCGGAGCAGAAGCCTCCGTCAGGCTTTACAGCCTCTCGCTTTTGCTTCGTTTTTTTTTGCTATGTACAGGAAAATAAATCACCCTCAAACCTCAAACCACAAACATAGAGATACGGGGCCGATTTTTTACTTCACTCCCTTTCTGTTCATTTTTCTGGTTTCAATTCTTGCTATTACCAGAGCGGCGGTGTACTGGTTACGTTGCTCGGCTACTAACGCGATTGTCACAGGTTAGATCCTGGGCATGGCGTATGCATCTCTATGAAAACTAAATGCTACAAGCCCGTCCATTGAGCGATTACAGTGCACGTTCATAAACACAAGATGGTCAAATTTCCGGAGCCCTCCACTACGGCAACCCTGATAACTCGGTCGTTGTTTTAGGGCGTGAAATCTCAGATATTATCGTAGTATTTTTCGATCCAACAGTTTGTTTCTCCCGCTGTACTTGGTCTCCCACCCTCTTTTGCGTCCAATTGTGGACCCTCACTGCCCTCTCCCACAACTTTGCTCTATTGTGATGTACAAGGCATAGTTTTGCAATGACAGCTTGTCTAGACAACCAAGTGGTAAGGACGCACGCACTTAAAATGTGAAAACAAGAGTCGTAACCTCAACTCGGCAAAAGACAATCCACCCCAAAACTTATCACTTTTGCTTTCTTGCAAATATTTATCTCTCTGTCTCTCTTTACGTCTCTCAGAATTCATTACTTTGCCCATCAAGTTTTTGTTTGTTGCCGGACAAACCGGCATACGTCTTCTAATAGAAAACCGAAGAAGAAATAGAGGAAGGCGATGAAGCAGATAACGAAGGTGATACGTGTGGTGTCATGCTGACGATAATTTCTATATGCTACACAGGACCAACTTCAAACTGAACTGCTATTGTGTGATAATACTGCAAAGGGAACAACACCACGCCTTCTTTTAATGACAATAAAGCTTTACCAGTGGTACGTAGTATATGCCAGATGAGTAGAGTTTTAGTAATTTATGTTCACTTCTTTTGCTGTAGTCGTTCCTAACTTTGTGATGTTCTGGGGTCTAAATAGGCAACTTCGCACATAACCTTGCACATTTCATGTGGATGTGAAATAGTAGGGGGACTGCAGACGATGGCAACTCAAGCATAGAGGTCACGCACCGGTAGTCATATGCAGCAGCCGCAGGGGCCCCACGAAGGTTACAGCCTTTGGGAATCAATCCTTGTGTGAAATGCACAGCACAATGCATTAGGCGTTACCAGAACAGTGTCAGATTTGTTATGTCTAGATGAGCAGACAACGCTGCAAGACTGATGTGCACGCGCGGATTGCACGCGTGTTCAATAGTGTCGTAAATTCGGTAAATAAACACGTGTTTTAAAAAAATATATAAATTGTGTGGTTAAGATTATGCCTGAGCATTGCTGTGTATCCTTGTGCAATTATCATAAAGGTACTAACAGCTACCTAACTAACGTTTTTTTTCAAAGCTTTTATTGGTATTCTGAACTAGCCGGACCCATTCAGCTTAACAAAGGCTGACTCTTCAGTTAAAAACGACGCTAAGCGCATAGCAACGCGGAATAAAATACGACTGTTATCGCATCAAAAGGTGTAGGTTGAACACGGAACGTTTTGCGTGAAAAATATGCTTATTTAAAAAAAGTGCAGTAAGGAAAGAATTGCGGCATCAAGGCTATTCACACACACTTGCAGGTGACGATGGCCAAAAAATAGCAGCAGACTTGCATGAACGCTTATCGAGTCAAATCCGTGATAACCCTATCGAACATGGAAGCTTTACCACAATAATCATGACTCGATGATTCTTGAAACTGCTTTGAACAAAATGAGACATCGTTTAAAAATGCGTGTGTTCTGTCTTTTGGTGTTCTAGCAGCCAAATATTAAAAGGAAACGTGAGACATGTGTTTATTTCTCTATTACACTGTACCATTTTTACTCAATCGTTATATAAATACGGCACCGATTTGCTGCCTAATGCTTCTTACTGCTTAGGAACTCCGGAAATTTTAGACAGCGCCTAAATGAACAGATGTGCTGGCACAGTTGACGTTATCTTCATCACAATGCGTGCTAATATAGTGAGGCAAAATATGAAAAACAATGAGCATAGCTTACCACTTTGAAATCATTTTCCTTTATGAATATTGACTGGCCAAATCCTGTCAAATAAGATAAAATAACCAAGAGCAGTACGACGCCATTCCCTGTTTGCATGGTGCTCCTGTTGATGCACGTCGTAAAAGGCGAAAATAAACATATATCAGCGCTACGATTGGACCTTTATACGGAGGAAGTTCTCGAGACCATGATGTACGTAGTTTCTTGCATGAACTGTATTATTCCAATTTCAAGAAATGACAATGGCGATTGACCGTTTGCCCGAATCTTCACCGAAAAATGATTGATGCAAATGTTTACTGCTTTACCCGCAATTCTTTTATATTGACAACTGTGGCGGAGGCCTTTCATTTAACAATGGGAAACACGGTGCTCACATTTTGAGCATGTGTGCAGTCGCACGTTGTTATTGCTAACTCTAAAGAACAGAATTTCATTGCCTACTACATTCCGTAGCCGTAACACTTATACACTGTATGAATAAAATGTTGAACAATTCTTCTACGCTGTGGGCAACTTGGTGCGTCGGATAAATTGAAACAACGTTTAACCACATGTAACCTTCTATGCATTTGGCACTGGTGTTGTGACAAAGAACAAGCAAGGCTGACGCAGAAAGGTATCGTGCATGAAGCAGGCATACACTGTGAGTAAAAATAAGCCAAGATTGGAGTAAATGTCTTGCCCTCTAGCACACTCTTCATCGAGATTTTGATATACTATGTACAGGAGCTGCAATTAATTGAGCAAGGGACGTAGACTTTAGATGAATTGAGAGAAGTATGGGTTTCATAATTCATCGCGGAGCTTTTTCACGTAAGTATAATACTAAAGGTTTTTGCCCAATGAAACGAAAACACATATTTGGCAGTGATAAGATGCGCCAGGGAATATTTATTTGGTCTAGCATTAAACAAACAAGATCGGTTGCACGTACAAAAACATACACACAACGTGTGCGAAATAATACAAATTTTACAGTGTACGCCACTCAGCACTCTCACTCACAGCCACATTTTGCTTACAGGGGGTATATATAGCCACCGTATTTTTACCATTCAGGTGGGTCCAGTGCAACACTTTCTTGTGTAATTATGCAATAACCATTTAGAGTGAAAGCGCGAATTCACAGTAGGCCTATAGGTACCACTGAACAAAGCCTACGATTTCCCAGTTGGTGAGACATGATCTAAGTATACTACGCGGTAGAAAACATGGATGGGGAATAAACAAGGACATGCGCAGACTATGAACTGAAGGTTTATTCATCCCGCATTGCAATTTTGTAATACAACCAGGTAAAAAGAAGAAAGAAAAGAACAAAAGTGGCATTGGAACAAGCACAAACTTCATACACCCGAAGCATGAGGAAGAATATCAGATTCAATTTACCCATGGGCCATTTTCCAGATGAACGAAGCTCCTTCTCGAGGAGCGCAATCGATGTTTTGCTCACGCAGTTGTTATGTTCCTGAGTCATTCTCTCTGCTTCAATGACAACAGTGAATGACAACCACACCTGCTGACATGCTAAGCCAAGAAGCTTTCGTTGCCATTGCGAACACTGCGTGCGCGTTCTCGTGTTCGTTTTCTACCATGTAGTATCCCTTGATCATATACCGCTGAAGCTACCCACCGTTTAATTCAGACCCGCTTATCCAGCAACACCTTTTTAAAGGCGAATTTTATCAGCTGCCACTTTGTCCCATGGGCTAAATACAGCTTAGGAGTATTGTGCATGAGTCCATTAAGTTCACCGAATTGCACAGAAACCACGAGCGATGGTGTACCAAGACTTCGGAAGCACACATCTAGCATACTCAGCACTCCATCAAACTACGCTCCTGCGGACGGCCTCGCTAGGAATAGCCAAGAATTTTACTACACTTTTCTGTGACCATGATGAGCGTTCCTCATAGCAATACTTTGAATGAACACAATTCGTTTTACTATATCAGTTCTCGGCACGTTACTTTATTTAATATTTTGAGAGGCAGTTGGTGGGACGTAGTTATTATGTGAGCAGTAGCTCTGCTTCATGTGCCAGTGTTGCTAAATCAGCTTAACGAACGAAGACCGCCTCCGCGGTGCGCGAATCCTTCTGCGGTATAGTTAAAATCATCAGGCATTTTATTTAGTATTATAAAAGGGCTTTCCATTAATCGATAGCTTCCCTGGTAGTCGTCCAAGTGGGGAAGGGTCGTAATCCAGAAACGGAGCAGCTGAGGAACTATAAACTAGGACGATGAGTAATCGGTCTTCGAGTATTCTTTATTCTTATTATTTATAGTTCCTCGATTATTCCGTATCATAAACATTGTTCTTTAGCTTCTCTGGATAATGCAACACATAAACAATAACCAATAACCAATAATTCCAATAACCAATAACCCATATTTCACCATAAATCCAGCATATACATTTTGAAAGCCTCGTCACTCTTGGAGTATATGGAAGCAGCAGCATTAGGCGAACACCTCTTAAACGCTGCACTGCTGCGAAAGAAGTCTCTACGGCTCTATATCCTTGTCTTATTTTGCGCCTTTATTTCCCCCCTCTTGTGTAGGTTTGAAAACTGAACGTAGTTCAGTTAACCTCTCCACTTTTGATTCATTCCTTCTCTCAATTTCCCTCTTTCCTTCGAAAGGCTCAGAGCTGAAAAAAAAATTGTTCCGCTGCGGTGGTCGAGTGCCTAAGGAGTTCGGCTGCTGACCCGCAGTTCATGGGTTCTAATCCCGGCTGCAGCAACTGCTTTTCGATGGAGGCGGTAATGCTGTAGGCCCGTGTGTTCAGATTTAAGCGCACGTTAAAGAACCCCGAGGTGGTAGAAATTTCCGGAGTCCACCACAACGGCGTTTCTCACAATCATGTGGTGGTTTTGGGACGTTAAACCCCAAATATCATCAATAACATCATCATTATTATCATAATCAGCTTGGAAGAAAATTGTCGCTCTTCAGAGGAATATTTCATGAGTTAGGAGTGCTGACAATGCCATAATAAGAGGTTTTGATATACAGGATGACAAACTGGTCACATCCGCAAAATTATAGCTAATAGGCTGCACAGAAAATGTAGATGTCTTCCATTTGCCAACTTTCTAGCGCACAGCACCTCAACTTGTTTTTTTTTGGAGTTTCAAAGTGCACATTGTTCCGGCTAAGAGGTGAAGCACATGTGATACCAGAGAAAATGAAATTTTTTAGTCGCATTTCTATAAGCATGAGTAATAATTCTTAGTGCAGTTTCATTCTTGACGTTTATTTTTCCCCGTTGTGCGTAGAATATTTTAAATGGCATGTTGAATAAAAGCAGCGGAGATCACAGTTGCAATATGTGAGGCCCGAATTCAATGGAAGTAAAAGTCGCACATGCAAGTGTTTATGAGAAATCTTAGACAGTCGACCTAGCAGTACAACTACTACGAAGTAAAATATTATAGCAGCATAGATATGGTAGATATATATAGAAGCGAATGTTAAATATAAAGCGTAGAATAGCATAAAACTGAGCTAGCAGGTACATATTTGTAAAAAACTGGGCGTGCCAATAAAAGGACACAACGAAATTGAAGACAGGTTTGTGGCGTGCTGACTTCCTCACAGTGGTCATGTCGAACGCCCTTTCCTTCAGAATGAGTACAGTATAACTTTGAAATACGTACATTTAAATATAGAAATAGAAGAAAGGTTAGAACAGGAAACACATTACGGAATGAAGAGCATGTTCGGTTATTATTAATGGTGCATGATGGCCGGCTTCTTTGAATATTGCTGAAATAAATGTTACCTGCTACTCGAGTCGATAGCATCACAAAATCTAAGTTTCGCATTAAAAATGCCCATGCCAAAAAATGCCTACTGCGCCACAGCCACCTTGGGTGAATTACACTAAGACTTATGAACGGTTAACGACCATCAAGCGCTCGGCTCGTGCCCTTCCCTGCCCGAAAAAAAGATGTCCTCATGACCGCAACTGCCCACTGAAGTGCATCGACAGACAACTTGACAGCCTGTCCTTGACCTAACACCAGATTCGACCTATTTTATTTGTCATTCCAGTAGGACGACGCCTCAACGAGTTTTGGTGGCCGGATCGACTTTACACCACTAGATGTGAGACATCATGTCGCACGCCACTGAACGCTGTCGCTTCTAACGCTACAAGTCAGCGTCATCATAATCAGCAAGATTATGGCTCTTGTGAGAACCAAGGTTCTGCAAAAGACGCTGCATAGTAACCTCCAATCATGGCAAGAAGCCCCTTGCTTGGCTTCCGTTGTCGCCCATTGCCTGTTGGTGCCATTGAACTGTAATTCCGAATCAAAGCCGGGAGCAAGTTCCTGTTTGATATTCTCGTTTTCGAGGACCTGCCCGCAGATATGATTCTATAGGGGCTTGTTACATCATCTCAGAAAATTTGCGTAGCCGTTCATTTCGCTGGAGTCTACTTCAGCCGCTTGGTTTTTGCACAACAACCTGGTTCCGAATTGGCAGACCATAACCAGCATTGCCTGCTCATACCAAAATCACTTCCTGTCTTCAGTCGGACGTAAGTCTGCTTGCTTCGAGTCCGAAACTTCCATGGGCGTGAACATTTCCCTCCAAAATGCCAGCACAAAAGCCACGAATGCACCCCGGGCAGACGAAGCCGGCATCGGCTACTACGGAAGCCTTGTGGCCCAGGTAAATGCAGTCAATATATGACACTTCGACAGCCCCGCGTGCACGCCTACTGGTAATGCGTATGGCAAGTACTCTTTTGAAACAGCTGGTAGACTACCATGGCACCGCGCAGTCAGCAAGCACGAAGTGGCTCTCGCGGTCGGCGGATCCGCTACAGCTCGTCGAATGGCCACAAACTCGACCAAAGCAGTGAGATGCCTTGGACGACTTCAATTACTTAAAATTGGTGCGCAGCCATGGTGGCTTTCACGTGTGCAAATAAGATATAAATCCAGAAGATTATCTTTTATCCTAGTTAATGTAGAACCGAATGTTGCGATGACAGCAGCTTATACGCTACTACTCTGAGCGACGACAACTCTCCGCAGCTTATCTGATCTTAAACGCCTTTTTTGTTCAAGTATTTGACTGCCCAGCACACCCACGTGAATAAAGACCAGTGGCCTTAACTATGACAACAGAATTATCTGCTACGCGTGCTAGTGCCGCAACGACACAGCGGAGGTTGCGCATTAGAGTGTTCA